GATTAACCACCCTGGGTACTCTGAATACTTCTTCCTTGCAGTTCGATCAACTAGCTAGGCGAGCTGCCCTCCAGCTAGGAGTTACTAGATTGCGCAACATCAGATGACAAGACATGGAAATTCATTTTTTGGTGCCCCCCTAAACAGGATTCAATTAAAATAAATTCCAATGCTTCCAGAACAGGCAATGGTTGGTGTTCGATAGCAGCTGTCGCTTGGAATCATCTAGGAAAATTTATTGACTACAAAGGTTATGCATTAGGCTTTTCATCAAAGAATGTGAAGATCTGTAGGCTAGGTTCGAGGGTGGTGTTCAGTATAGGCGTGTAAAGAGGCTAATCAAGTGGCAAACTGGATTGCTAAGGGCTCTTCCTCGGATGGTTTTGTTTCCCTTGATCTTTGTAAGCTTCTAGCGGATGAGGACTTCATTAGTTTGAGTGATTGTTGGGGTCGTGCTACCCCCGTTCTTGTGTAGCACCTCCTAATTTTATCAAAAAAAAAAAAAGAAAAAAAAAATCATAGAACAAAGACCACCACTGTACTTGGAATTAGCACTTACAATTTCTTGGGGAAATCAAAATTCCTTCTATTGTAACAAGTAACATAAATAACAAACAAGATGAATTTAACAAGAATAATAATGTTGTAGGGGCAAAATTGGGGAAGTCGATAGCGCGGGCACATGGATCTACCGAATGGAGCCTCCAGATATGGATGCCACCTTACAAACACCTGCTGATGTGGTGAAGGCAACATCCTTGTAGCGAGCCACTAGCTCATTGTCAGTGTGCAGATCTACCTGTACTGTTTCCCAGACTTTCTTCTTAGGGTTGAGAACGCCATCTGCTTCACCTTCGTATCCTGGAAATGTTAAGCGCTCTCCTACGGGAGCAGACTGAGGTGGATCAACCAATTCAACCTAGACAACAAAAATGCCAACGTCCAGAAGGTGAAATTAGCACTTCCGTATTTCAAACACAAGGATGCAGATTCCACACTAGAAATATTTAACATTAATTAAAACCCATGGTAAAGTGCAAAAGATCATATATGGGCATCAACCAGATGATTAGAAAAGTTTATGCTACCATCCTTGGATATTAATGTAAACTTATGAACCATCCAGCAAGTGGRCCTCTGATGACACTGACAAAATTCTTGATCCCTYTGTCAGGAATTAATATACTTCCACAAAGAAATTAGCTTTTTTTGTTTGCAGTTCAATAATCCCGGCCTAGATGGGTGGTGAGAAGGGTTTCAAAGATCTGCCCCATAGTTTGCAGAACCATCCAGAAGGGTAGACCTCATCATGTGATAAAAAATTTTAGCATTTTTTCCCCTCGTAAAAAAGGCTTAGGCCAAAACTTAAAGAATGATCAAATGATCAAGAGAGTTTGGCTACCCTTCATTTATTAGCATAGACCTAGGAGTGATAATTGAAGGTTATTTTTATTACTTACTTTCGTGTGATCACTGTTGGAAGCAGCAAGAACCATTGCCTGTGATTTAACACCCCGCATGGTTGCCGGCTTCAGATTGCAAAGAACACAAACTTTCCGATTCTGCCCATGGAACATAATAAACAGAGCAATAAATTGATATGTATTCTGAGTATACAGCACATCAAGATTAATGCATGTAACCTGGTGAAAAAAAAAAAAAAAGAAACCAACCTGCATTTCTTCGAGGGGAATGTATTTGACGAGTCCACTAACAACAGTTCTTGSTGATCCTTCACCCACATCAATCTCCTCAACATAGAGGGAATCAGCATCAGGATGTTTCTGAACCTTTGTTATGATGCCAACACGGATATCAAGCCTACTGATGGAAATTTCTGCTTCAGCAGCTGCCTTTGGTTTGGTTTCAGTTGTAGATTTGCTTGGCTTTTTTTTCCCATTTCCATCTATGGAAAAACAAGTAAACTTCATTCAAGTACCAACAGAAATAAAATAAAATAAAAAAGGAACTACAGAAGCTTTTCTAGGAAGAAATGTTCATGAGAGAGTGTATCCCATCTCATGGAAGACCATCTACCCATGTATACAGATGACCACTACCATTCAAGAATATTGTGAACTTTGCAACCTTCACTTGAGTTTTAATTTACTTTACCCATGTATTGAATGGCAGCCTCTTTCACATAAAGAAGTAGCATTAATCATAAAGAGACAGGAGGGAAATTCATCCCTCCTAATTCTGGGGCTGCAAAAGTATCYTTTTGTCTCAATTTGAATTTGAACATGATCCGGTTAAAGGTGATACAAGGATTGAAATATAATCAACAATCAATTAATTTTGTCCAAGCTTATCCCAACTATATGGGGGTCAGCAAAATGAATCCTGTTTTGCCATTTTGTTCTGCTTAATGCCGTATCCATTGTAAAATTAATGGTGCTTAAATCATTTCTTACTACTGCCCATGTCCTTTTTGGTCTAACCCTAGACCTTTTGGCCCCTTTGCAAGTTGCAACGAAGCACTTCTTACAGATGTTGATAGTCTTCTATGCACATGACAAAATCATCTTAGTCTACTTTCCCTCATTTTATTACCTATTGGAGCTACTCCGTCTGATCCTATCATTTCTAGTTTTCCCACTCATCCATCTCAGCATACACATTTGCAATAATTAAACAATGCCATATCTATTTTTAAATTATCAGTGTTTAAATCACTTCTTACAACTGACCGTGTCCTTTTTGGTCTACCCCTAGATCTTCTAGCCCCTTCAATTTGCAACAAAGYATCTCTTATGGGTGTTCTTGATGGTCTTCTATGCACATTACAAAACCATCTTATTCTACTTTCCCTCATCTTATCATTTATTGAAGCTACTCCTACTTTTGATCCTATCCTTTATAGTTTTTCCACTCATCCATCTCAGGCTCTCACCATATGCATTTCTACAACACTCATTTTTTTTATTTCTTTTGAAGGTCTACACAACGGGGGGTAGCCCATCCCCCAACCCAGGTGCAGGCGGGATTCAATACCAAGTCTCTGCTATGACCAGAAGGAGACCTTACCAACCAGTTGGTTGGCACCTTTGCTTTCTACAACACTCATTTCTTGGACATTTTGTTTCTTGACTACCCAAAACTCTGCTCCATACAGAGCATCACAACAATTTTATAGAATTTTCCTTTTAATCTAAATGGTATTCACCTATCACATAAAACTCTAGATGCATCCCTTCATTTTTCCCATTCAACTCTAATTCTATGGAAACCCAAAACTCTGCTCCATACAGAGCATCACAACTATTTTATAGAATTTTCCTTTTAATCTAAATGGTATTCACCTATCACATAAAACTCTAGATGCATCCCTTCATTTTTCCCATTCAACTCTAATTCTATGGAAAATATCCTCCTCAATCTCTCCCTATTTATGAATTATCAACCCAAGGTATCWAAAAAGGTCACATTGAGTTATCTCTTGGTCTCCAATCCAAAGAGTACCTTGATTTGCATCCTATTATTATTAAATTTGCATATCATATATTCTATTTTGGTCCTACTTATTTTAAAACCTCTTGTTTCTAAGGGCATTTTGTTCATAAGCTTATCTTTGCATTTAATCCTTCTTTAGTTCCATCTAAAATGATGTCATCAGCAAACATGCACCATAGGACCTCCTCATGAAATGTTTAGTTAATTCATCTATGATTAGTGCACATAGGCAAGGGCTAAGTAGTGAAGACCCATTGTTACTATAAAATTTGAGGTCTCTCCTACAGGTGCTCTAACATTGATTGACACACCCTCATGAGTTTAATCCCCCAATAATAAATACAACTTTGTATATCACATTTGTTCTTAAATATAGAGACCATAATACTCAGGCATCTTTTTTTTCTTTCATTATCTTATTAAATAGCTTAGTTAGCCATAGTAAGTCTACCTCTCCCATACCTTTCCACACTTCTATTCGAGTTCCATCAAGTCCTAAAACCTTTTCTTCCTGATTTTATTTAATGCCTCTTTCACTTTAGTAGTTCTGATTTTATAAAGATAGATATTATTTTCAACACTAATAGTGTTACTAATCTCTTTTTTTATTAGCAACACAGAAAAATTTTATTAATTACTTGAGAAGAAAGAGAGAAGATACAACAAGCGGTTGTGAAATCTGGAAACACTTTACAGCAACAAAACCCCACCACCCTATTACAATTGAGCCCAATACATTTTGTTGTTCATGAACTCCTTGCTTAGCTAAACCATCTGCCAAAGCGATTAGCAGATCTTCTTACCTATCTTACTTGAATGTTCATGTTTCTTCTATTGATCAGTAATCAAGGGATTTCATTTCATCATAAGGAGGAAAAAATTCAGATTCAGATCAATTTTAGGCATATATGAGCATAGCTTTTCAAAGTCTGCCCAGAACAGTTGATCCCTATGTACCCATTGCTTTGCCAAAGTATCAACCATCCCATTTGCTGTTCTCTTGACCCATTTGAAGCTTGCCTCGAGATCCTTAGCCAAGCTCTTTATTTCTCTAATTAGATGCCTAAACTTCCACATACCAGGATTGCTGTCATCCATCCAGGCAATTACTAATTTTGAATCACCTTCTATTTCCAGATTCTTAAATTCCCACTGTTTTGCTAATTTCAGGCCTTGATGTAAAGCTGTTATTTCTGCTCTTGGCCTCTTGCCGAATCCCCTATTCCTATCAGTCCTGAAAATAATGTTACCACTTTCCCTACTTCATCCCTGAACACTCCTATTCCTGACAGAACAGGATTTCCTAAAGAGCTTCCATCAAAATTGAGCTTTAGTCTGTTTGGGTAAGGAGGCTTCCAGTCCAAGAGTACTCTGTCTTTCACAGCTGTTGAATTTGCTACTTCATACCAGGCTCTAATAACATCATCTACTGCCACCAATTTGAAAGCTTCCAGAGATGTTAGCCAGTTTGCTGTTTTGATCTTTATGCTTTCAATAATGTCCTCCATGCTCCTTGCCTTTTCTTTGAACAGTCTTTCATTTCTTTCCCCCCATAGTGTCCAAAGTGTTGCTGCCTTTGATGTCTTCCAAAGCATTCTTCCTCTCTTTTCTTCTTGCCTGAAAAAAGCTGGGTGACAGCAACTTGAAAGGCCTGAATTTATTGTTATACCACCCCTTTTCCTTCTTTCAACCACACAACTACTACCTTTGAGTCCCCTTCAACAACCAACCTTGTGAGTCCCAAATCTTTAGCTTTCTGTATCAACACCAACCATGATTTCTGCACTAACTGAATCCCCTTGTTCAATTGGTCATGAATAAAGCCCACATATATTACCACCCTCATCTCTTGGCACTCACCCAATTCTAGGACCCGGGTTGCACAAACTACTCCCATCAAAATTCATTTTCATTCATCCACCAACCGGGGTGACCAAACCTCAACGATTTTTTGTGTCCTAGAGGAAGAGTAGCAATAGAACCCCAATTTCTGAGGAAGTCCTCCACTGTAAAGTCTGAAAACAATTTCAATGTCTTCACCCAATGTGCCACTCTTACTGCAACAATCTCAATAATTGCCTCTTGTTCTTCTCTTTTCCCCCAAAAATTATTGTATTGCTCACCTCCCAAACTGTCCAAATTACTGCTGCCCGTGTGCATTTTCACAAGATTCTGCCTCTTCTTTTTGTGCTCCTCGGAAAAGATGGGCTAAAGAGACTATCCAAATGAATGGGAAGGATCCACCTGCAACCAAAAAGAGAGCAAAACCATCCCCATATACAACAAACGAATGGGCAGGAGATTAAGAAGTGATAAGCAGTCTCACCATTTCAATTTACACAGAAAGCACCAGTTAAGGGACAAGAACCAATTTGGTCTTTTCCTTTGCAATAAGTCGCAAGTATCGATGCACCCTTCATAAACTTCCTAAGAAAAGGCACTGACTTTTTAGGGGATAGGAACACTCCAAACTTCTTTCAAAAGAAATGGAGGAGTGACCACAAGAGAGGAAAAAAAGGATTTACATGTAAACAGCCTAGAGGGACAAAGAGACCACACGCAATCATCTCTCCTCGATTAGTGTCCACATGTTCATTTAATAATTTAAAATAGTTTTTCTATCTTTGCTTGATTTCCTCATATTTTACCAAGACTCTTTGATCTTCCTCTTTAATGCACCTAACATGGTTTAAATCTTTGTCTTTCTTTTTTCTCATCTTTGCTAGTTTATAAGTTATTTTTTCTCCCTCTTTAGTGCCTAATTTATGATAAAGCTCATCATAATTATATATGCCTTAAATTTAACTTCTTCACTTACTTTCTTTTTAACTCCTTTTTTATGGGTTTATATTTTTCTCAATTTTCTGCACCTTCGGTCTTTTACCTTTCTCTGTAATGTGCTTGTTTTAAATTTTTTGCATTTTGTTCAAAGYTTTTTTTTGTTCATTATGTTAGTAACATGTTATATTTTGAACATTTGAAGTTTAATTTATTAGCACTATTCAATACCAGATTGCAATCTGAATTTGATGCAAATCCAGCAATCTGATGGATAAGAATTGAATTGGATCCAAATGTAAATTAATAAAATTTGGATCTACCTATATGTAATTCAATCCAATCCTTTTTGCAGTCCTACCTGATTCCAGATATTCTATAAGTTTTTTTTTTTTTTGTTCATTATGTTAGTAACATGTTATATTTTGAACATTTGAAGTTTAATTTATTAGCACTATTCAATACCAGATTGCAATCTGAACTTGATGCAAATCCAGCAATCTGATGGATAAGAATTGAATTGGATCCAAATGTAAATGAATCAAATTTGGATCTACCTATATGTAATTCAATCCAATCCTTTTTGCAGTCCTACCTGATTCCAGATATTCTATTTCTGCAATCCTCTTGTGAATGGTTAATATAATTTATCGATTTATGGCTGCAGGCATGAATAATGCCCAAACTTGATGTAAATCATAAGTGTACAGCTCAAACTTACATATCAAAAGTACCCAATAAGTAAGAACTGAAGATTGGCATCTAGATTGAACACCTATGACTTTAAGCACTATGTGAGAGATGAGACCTCTGGCATCTAGATTGAACATCTTGTTCAGATGGATCTAGAGCCTAGAGGTCAGCCACAATTATGGAAGATAGCCAAGAAAAGCATAGGTAGAAACAGCTGGGCTGTATAGGAGATCATCCTCCCAGGTACCAGCATAACTGTTCTATTTTTTTTCTTAGTTCCTCCTGATGAGAGAGTATCTTTGGTCTTAGCACCCCTTCAGGGTAGTTCTGATTATTGTACTTACTATTGTTCTTAGTCTTAATAAAGTTTTTATTATCAACACAAAGGAAAAAGTTCAACTAGGGAAAAAAATCTTGTACAAATCCTATCTAAATTTTGGTAATCCTCTAAAACTGCACATATTAAGGATTCTTTTCTCTTTTTGATCAATAACATATCTTAAGGATCTAAATGCTTCAGTTCAACACCTAGCTTGTTTATCTTTCTAGAACAGGCAGGCACATGGGAGAAGAGATTTCTTGGAATTGGGCCTGGGGTTAAAGGCTTTTGGTCCATGGATCATCTGCATTTTTTCAACCTTTCCTCCCTATCAGAATAATTAATATCTCCATCCAATTCCAAATTTCAGAGTYTTGAAACCATTTTCAATCACATAAAAGAAAAGAAAAGAAAAGAAAAGAAGTGTACCTGAAATTTTTGTTTTCTTCAGTTGCTCAGCAACCTTTTTTGCTTCAGCCTCTGCTGCCTTCAAAACCCTATCAGCTTGACTTCCAGCAAACCTCTCCCTGAAGTACTGCACCTCTTCATCTTTCTGTACAATAAATAATCTTCGTCAGATAAGCACCTAAATATGAACTAAAACGCTACCATACAGAAGAAAAACAAAACAAGACATATGACCAACAGTAAGAGATTTATACCAATTCCTTGAATAGTGGCGCAGGCACCCCTATCTCATGACCTGCAGGTAGAATCTCCCAAGGTTTCTTTGCCCTCTCAACATCTCCTTTTTCATCACAAAGTGAAAGTTGTGTTTGAGGACAGTTAAGCTGCTTCAGAACCTTGAATATCACAGAAAATAATGTAAAAAAAAAGTGCTTAAGAATATCTAATTGTAGCAATTACACAAGACACTTTAATATAATTAGTGATTAGAACATCAAAGAAATATTTACTCAATCTATTTTGTGTAGAAGAGATAACTACCTCAGCAGAAAAAGATGGCATGAAAGGTTCCAACAAAGATGCAAGAAGATATACTAGCCCAATTGAAGTTTTCATAACAATGGAACAGGAAGCTTGATCATCTTTGTAGAGCTTCCAGAATTGGCTGTCCTATTTACAATTCAACTAATTAAGATGTGATGATGATAAATAAATAATCCTTTGATCAATAAAGAAAGAAAAGAACAAATAAATAAACAATTCCTTAAAACAGAAGGTGACATGAAAACTCAGGAACTTACTTGCAGATATGCATTTCCTTCACTAGAAATGCTCATGGCAATTTTAAGCCCTTGCTTTAATTTAACCTATGCCACATCACATAATAAAAACAATCCATATTAAATACAAGCATAGAGAGAAAATAGTTAAAACAAAGGAAATAGAATAGTTGTTATAGTGCATTTAATCACCTTCTCCATGGCCTCCACGTACTGTTCAACTAATTTACCAACTTTTTCTGCTAATGTATTGGTTAGCTGATGGCATTCTGCACCTGGAGCATCTGGAATGACAGAAGCATATCCTAGGCCTACAGAAGTGAAGAATATCAGCAAGAAATATAAGAACACACCTGATTACTTTTTGATTGTTAATAGCATCTCTGATTATATCTRGAAAAAAATAAGATATGTGCAATGACAAAGTTTATGAGAATTAATGAAATACAAAGTTGCTTGCTTTTACCAGCAAGAGATCTTCAAACAAAAATGAAGGGAAAATTTTACCTATTAGAATCATGCATAATCACTTAATCTAGTTCCCTGAGTACAGAAAGAAAACATCTTATGGCTATTCCAAACATTTAATAGATATGGAACAAATTGAGGCATTGACACAACCATTCCTCAGTTGTAATTCATAAAAGAGGGGAAGAAAAAGGAATCCTCATTTGAGTCCCTGGTTGTTGTGCAGTCAGCAACCCATGCTGGTGCTGTTTGCCATGCAACAAAGTAAATGAATAAATAGATACAAAGAGAGGGAGGGATAAGCCACACAACAGAGAGAGAGAAAGAGAGAGAGTTCAATTGCATGACCCTCATCTATGACTTATGTAACATGATGTGCAAACTATACATATGTAAAATATACCATGGGGGCCTACACAAAAAAGCACTTTGAGGATGCTTAGTTAGAAATTTCATGTACTTTTAATAAGAAGGGTGACTAGCTGGGCCACACTTAGAAGACAAGTATACATTTCAAACTTGAAGTCTGCATGCAGAATATATCATGTATACACGGCCATCTATCATAAGAGATAGTTTCGTTACTTACACTTTTATAGTGGAGAATGTGAGAGCTTCTAGATTCAAGAAGCCGGTTTGTTTCTTGAGTAGTGGTGGCAGAAATAATATTGCTTATTTGTTTTTTTTTTGATAAATAATATTGCTTATTTGTTGATAAGATGGGAAGCTTTTAATGTGAAAAAAATGTTTGGAATTGTGGGAAGTTTGAAAGGACCTAAGTGAGAAGTTTTGGTTGTCAGCATAAGGACCATGATTCCAATATAAGGAACCAAAGCAGAGCAATGTTGTAAGACTCAGACCATTAACAAAAGCAGAAAGGCTACCAGTACCAGGTCAAAAGTGTCAAACAGTCCAATCGCTGGGTCAACCTAGTGACCCATGACATCATATAGGTAAGATATAAAATATCAGGCATAACATTTGTAGTTATTTTTCTATTTTTTTATCACAAACGGTAACTTTCATTAACAAAACTTTTAAAGGAGTACACTGTCACCACCTAAAACAAGGCTGTTGATCCCAAGAGATTTATTTCCAGATTAGAAAACAGCAGAAAACATATTATTCTTGAAAGTTCCTTACTTTGCCAAAGTGTCAGCTAATCCATTTCTGATCTCCTTGTCCACATAAACAACATCCAAACCTCCCTTACTAAGAAATTAATTACCCTCATAACTTGTCTATGTGCCCAGACCCCCAAATTGTTTGACTGCATCCACCGAATTAATAATTTGGAGTCCCCTTCTACCTCAATTTGGTGAAATCCCCACTACTTAGCCAACCTTAAGCCTTAGAGCAAAGCCATAATCTCTGCTCTCAATGAGTCACCAACACCTATTGGACCAGAAAACAGGGCAATCAGTCAGCCCTCTCTTGTCTCTAAAAGCTCACCCCACTCCAAAGGGACACAGGTTGCCTAAAGAGCTTCCATCAAAATTCAGCTTCATCCTTTCTTGTACTCAAGGGACCCATTGTTCCTTGATCACAGTCTTCAAAGAAGGAGAATTTACCACTACATTCCAGCCTCTAAAATGTTGTCTGCTGAATAGTCTTTAAATAAATTAGAAGACTTGAGCCAATGCATGACCTTGGTAGTAATGCAATCAATGACTTGCTCCATGAATCTTTCTGTTCCTTGAACAATCCTAGTATTTCTTTCTTCCCAAATTGACCACAAAACAGCTGCTCTTGTGGCTCTCCACATTACTCATTCCTTTCTTCTTTGGAGATCTAAAGAAGACTGGATCAAAGAGTCTTACCAAATCTGAGGGAGGGATCCACCTGCAACCAAAAAGTGAAGAGAGCCAATTCCAAACAAAAGATACAAAAGGACAGGATATTAGTAGGTGTAATCATCTCACCACAAACCAACCAAAGGCTACACAAGGGGTGAGAGCGGTAACTTGGAATTATTTTTTGAAGCATATTCAAGGTATTTCTGGACCACCACCTTCCAATAAAATGCCCTTACTTTTGGGGGTACAGAGCTGCACCAAACCTCCTTTGTTGGAAAGGATCMTGCCATGTTAGAAGACTGAAGAAGAGAAATGTAGAAGGAAGAAGAAGTAAAAAAGCCAGATGGAGAAGCTGATCAAATCCTGCTATCCATTTCAGACTCYCTCAACCCCAAGCCCCAAGAATTACCAGACATCTATCTTTGAGGGAAGTGTCCCCAAACCAGACATCTTCCTTGAAACGCACTTTATTACTTGCATAAGCATCTATGAAAGAAAGGARGCCAAAATGTCGTGGATAGCTTTCCAAGAAGATGTCCGAGATGCCATAGGGTCRAGACCAACATCCCAACCATTATCTGCCAATCCATGAATACTAACTATAACTTTATACCACAAATTATCATGTTCCATAGGTASTCTCCACAGCTACTTTCCCAACAAAGCTAGGTTCCTTAATTTTATATTTCTTATACCCATCCTTCCACTATCTCTACTTCTAGAAACCACCTCCAACTTCACCAAATGATCTTTCTTTGTATCCCCTAGTTCCCACAAGAAATCCCTCACTAATTTCTCCAATTTATTGGCCACTCTAGTGGGAATTTTGAAGGTAGAAAGGAAGTAAAAATTGGCAAATTTGCCAATGTTGACTTTATTAAAATGATTCTTCCCCCTAAAGAGATGTAATTTCATTTCGCCTCTTTGAGAATCTTTCCAAGACCAGGTACTAGAAACTTTCTGACTTTGGGTTCCATCCTAGAGGTAGTCCGAGTTCAAGTCTTGTAACTCACATTTTATTCAAACATATATACACACATACTTGATCAATATATATATAAAAAACACACACACACACAAATAGCATGATTGATCAACGGTAGTATGTTGTTTTACATAATGGAGAGGTCACAAGTAATCTTCTTATTGACATTTTATGATTTCTAATTAAAGTGAACTGGGAAGGTTGTTGAAAACTTGCTGGGTTATTGAAAACCAGCCAGTTTTCAACAGTTGTCATGGGTTTCATGATCTGACCACCAGTCTGGTCCAAGTCTTACAACATTGAAGGAAAGTCCATCTATTTTCTGATAAAGAAGGTTGGGGTACTAGTGGCTTACGGGAGGACAGTCACTTTTCAAAAGATAGGTGTTTCAACCCAGGCCAGTTCAAGGAAGAGGATTTGGTCAAGACTCAAGAGAAAGTAGCTTGAACTGGGGATGATATAGAGAGAGGTCTAAATATAGAAGAGGAGGTTATTCCTGTAAAAACACAAAGGGATGCATCTTCCACCATGCAAGATTTTCACTGATAAGGACAGTAACCATAGTTCCAACTCATACAAAGAGGATGGATGATTATATTGGTTTGGAGATGGTTGGTTATGGGATGTTAGTCCATAGCCACAACATCAAGTTAATTCTCATCTTGGAAGAAGATCAATGAAAGGGTCCAAAAAGTAAGAGAAGTAGCACAAAAAGCCATTGCTGAACATCACTAGCATTCAATCGACAATGGGAGATAGAAATGGTTTTGGTATGTATTTGAAGTCGCTTTATGCTAAAGATGCTAGAAAGGTTGTTTTAGGTGAAGAGTGGAAAACAACAAGAGACAAGATATGGGATGAAAAATAATAGGGACAATACATTAATGCGGAGCAAGACTTGGCAGTTTAATAGGGAGATTGCCAGCAAAGGGGGTGGACTTGGACCCTCTTTATGTGAAGGTGTGAAGGCAGAGAACCAGGTGGAGTTCTTTGTTGGATCTTGATGG